GCAAATATCTCTTTCTAATAATGGATTTTTGTGCTTTAGTTAACCCATTCGTTCCCAATGTACTCGTTTGAGTACAAGGACTTAAGTCCATATGTGCGCCATGTAATAGAAGATGTTTGATCCTAGCAATAGTTATAAGATTCCTTACATTGTTTTCTACCAGTATTTATCAATGTTGCACACCGTAGTTGTGATTTAAATGGTTTAACTGCCATTTGTGTTAAGAACTGCAAACGCTTTGTGAACATGTATGTAATTATCACATCATATTATGTTGTTACAAAATATTTAGTGATTCAACTTGAATTAAATCTTTGCTTTAAATCCAATGAAGTGCCTAAAATGATTTATGTGCATAAACTACTCGCAATCTCTTATACGGGGAGGGGTAGACTTTGGTGTACCTATTTGAGTACAATGGGATCATGCAACTCAATATACATATTTTCAAGGCTAACTTTTTGTAGGTGTTTATAAGAGTGTTTGTGATGGATGTTGACAATTTGGAAGCCATTCCAGCCATAAACTTCTACGGGAAGAAATATAAAACGTTGGGAGATGCAGTGGAGAATATACTTTCTTCCACCACAATGGATGCTGTGGATATTGTCGTCATTCCTCCAAGTGTCGACATACAAACTGAGGAAGAAGAAGGCGTTGATGACAACATCCAGGACGCACAAAATTCCTTGCCCCACGATGTGCCTGGTGAAATTGAACTTCACTTCCATAAAAGTGATGATGGCAGCAGTGATAGCGAATCAAATGTACCAATTGTTGTACTCAAAAGAAGGCGGCGACTAACGGATCCCAGTACTTCATCTGGTAAAACAGCATCTATCCGCAGTAAGAACAGAAATCACCTCTGCGCAAGTGGTCCACTTATCCTGTCGAAAACTTTTGGAACCAACGACACCTTGAGTTGGTTGTAAATGATTTCGAGCATGCAAGTCCACTGGAAATTTTTGAAAAATTTTGTTATGACCAGGTATTAGATCACATTGTTCGGCCAACAAATTTATTAGACCGGGAGGTAGCATACATAGTAACTAAACCATAAGCGACAAAAAATTCGACAATACAGGCTGAAAGTACGTTGAAAACTAATAATAAAATCACTCGTCTGCCAGTCGTAAATGACAGCATTAACTTGGTGCGGCGCTGAATAGGTGACTTCTTTAGGTGATCAACTAATTTATCAAACTATAAGGACCACGGAAAAGATTTGTATCAAGAAATCCCATTTTTTCCATAGTTTTCAAATATGCTATGGCAGAAGATTTCAAGTGCAGCGTTGGTAGCGAAAGACGCCCTCCAATGTAGGGAAAAACACCCCTGAACTAAACCATGAGGACCGTATAAAAATTATACATAAAAAATTCCTCTTTTTGTCACTACTTTAAAATATATCCTGGCAGACGATATTAAGTGTAGCTTTAATAGTGGCAGACGTCTTAGAAGTTAAAAAATTTAGGTATAGTAAATCCCAGCGAGTGCTAGCGTGTGAGAGATAACCGCGCGAGAGCATAACCAACAGAGATAGCGATAGGATACTAACTACTGAGATCTTTCAAACCATTTGATTCTAAACTTCTGATTCACATAGTTCCATCCACTTCAATCAAACGGATTGTAGAAACTCAGACATTTTTCGGTGGCATTGCGATGAACTAAACCATGAGGACCATACACAAGTCATACATGCGGTAAATGCGTGGGAACCCGGTAACGCGTTACCCTGCGCGTTACACACATCAACACCCAAATTCACGAACATCTCTCGAAGATTTATGAATTTCTGCGTGTTATTGGAAAAGAGACCTACTTCCATCTATACCTTGATGGTAGCGTCAATTTTACATTTCCCAAAGCAATAACAGCAATATTCATATCGGAAGCGCTAATAATGACTTCGCTACTTGGTAGTTTACCAAGATGGTAAATTATTCGAGAATCTGCCTTTTAGTGGCTGCAGAACAATTCAGTTTTTACCACATCATCTTCTCTTGTCACAAATTTATAGCACTTATCTTCATATGTGGCAAACACAACTTTCCTTCCAAGTAAAGCACGACAGGTCTTTTTTGCCTATGAACGGTATAAGTAATCTATAAGAGAGGCTTTGAGCTATCATTGCGAAGTGGTTTTATGAAATTTGCAGGCTGCTTCTGAGTGGAATCAGAAGTTGAGTAGGATTATAATCTTTCCTTATTTTGATCCCAACGATCATGTTCTGCGTCCTTCATGGAAGGGGTAACTATCTGTCAAAAGTAAGATGTACTTCTCTCGCTGACACAGCACAAATCTTGCCGAGGATGTGTTCAGAAAATCGCTCAAAGGTTTACCGGAGATCTTTTAAAAGATGCAAAAAAAAATAATCCATCGATTAAAACAACATCTACAACTGGCGATGGACTAGGAGCACTTGAAGAAATCATACTTCCGAAAAAGTTTCAGCAAAACAAACTTGTCGATTTTAATCATCGATCCATCAATGTTGCATAGAGACAACGAAACTGGAGTCAGAGGATAGTTGAGGATAGAACGAGCTGAAGATCTATCTTCTTTTCTCTTCAAGTTTTCTGTTTCTCAGTCTGAGAAGAATTCAAGAAATACCGACAATCTTATCGCGAAATAAACAATTTATTATTTTCCCTAATTTAATTCGTTTGGTAACTCCAAGCGGTGCGTAAATATAGCTATCTCTGTTCGTTGTGCTCTCGCGCGCTTATCTCACACGCTCGCACTCGCTGAGATTATACCTAAATTTTTTAACTTCTAGGACGTCTGCCACTATTAAACCTACACTTAATATCGTCTGCCAGGATATATTTTAAAGTAGTGACAAAAAGAGGAATTTTTTATGTATAATTTTTATACGGTCCTCATGGTTTAGTTCAGGGGTGTTTTTCCCTACATTGGAAGGGCGTCTTTCGCTACCAACGCTGCACTTGAAATCGTCTGCCATAGCATATTTGAAAACTATGGAAAAAATGGGATTTCTTGATACAAATCTTTTCCGTGACCCTTATAGTTTGGTAATTTAGTTGATCACCTAAAGAAGTCACCTATTCAGCGCCGCCCCAAGTTAATGCTGCCACTTTACGACTGGCAGACGAGTGATTTTATTATTAGTTTTCAACGTACTTTCAGCCTGTATTGTCGAATTTTTTGTCGCTTATGGTTTAGTTACTATGTACGCTGCCTCCAGGTCTAATACTCTACGCAAAATAATAATCATAGCTTCATTGTATCGAAACCAGATATGCAAATATTTATTGGAATCCTTTTACTATCTGGGTATCACAAATTACCACGCGAAAAATATGATTGGAGTCTCGATGATGACTTGGGTGTAAGATTTTTTGCCAACGCAATGTGTAGAAATAGATTTCAGCAGATAAAGCAATACATTCATTTGGCCAATAATGACAATTTGGATAAGACAGATAAAATGGCCAAAGTACGCCCACTAATGAATATGTTAAATGATAAAGACCAACAGTGGGGCGTTTTCAATGAACATTTAGCCATTGATGAATCAATGGTTAGATACTTTGGCCATCATTCCGCCAAACAGTTTCTCCGTGGGAAACCCTGTCGGTTTGGGTACAAAAATTGGTTGTTGTGCAGTCACACCCGATATTGTTATTATTTCGACACTTACCGACTGTGACTCACAACAAGTTTCAAAAACCAATTCTGCCAAATATTCCAACCTTCCACTGGGATCACGAGTAGTCTTGTCTCTATTAGACATAATAGCTGTGTCTTCCGACCATGCGGTTTTTTTTGGATAATTTCTTTGAGAGTTATGGGCTACTAAAAACCCTAAAAGAACAAGGAATGGGGGCTACGACAACTCTTCGTGAAAACAGAACTGAGAAATGTCCCTTGTTAGATAAAAAAGGTTTCCCAAGAAAAGAACGGGGTTATTTGGAACTTGCTTACGATGGAAATGCAAAGCTTTTGTTTTTACGATGGATGGACAATAATGTGGTGACTATGGGAACTAATTATGATAGCATTGAACCATTAGGAAGTGTCGTTTACGTAATGTGCGACTGTGCGAGTAAACGTCGCAGTCACGGTGCATCGTGATTCTTCAAATCTTATTACTAGTCTAGAGCAATATACTTACGGCCTTCGATTTAATAACTTGTCTTATGTTCTTCTCGGGGTCCACAATTCTAGGATTGGTTGGACGTACCCTTTCCTATCCTGCTCTAGTCTTATCCATCCAGCTAATCCTCATTCCTCATTATCCTTCCACAGCACCACATCTCGAATGCTTTTATCCTACTTTTGTCGGATTTATTTAATGATGGAAGTGGTGTTTCCTGAAATATTGGAAACAACGGAGTTGATGATACCGCTGCTACTACTGGTTTACGCTAAATCTCGGGCAGTTAACCCTATTTCTTTTGATGAAGACGCAGTCATTTTTTTAAATGATAAATCTATGCAAAAGCTCACCGTGAGAATTTTAACGCGTGTTCAATTACAGAAAAAGTTTTGTAGAGTGGAAAAAGGAAGCAATGTAGTACGGTTTCTTATTAGAAGTTAGAAGTTTCTACCGTCCGAACATCCACCGAAAATTTGTACATCTTATTCATCAAGCCAGTTTCGCTTTATCAAGCAAAGTGAAGTTCAGATTCTGTCAGCGTGTCTATGAGTTAAGTACCCCTTATATCGCATATCGTCAGCTTAATTGTAAAAGCTCGTAACTCCAATTTTTGTGAAAATTGCATTTTAGCACCATCTGACGGACAAAAATGAATGCTATTGTTAAGAAAAGCTGGCAAGTCCATAAAAATTCGACATTAGAGAAATCACCATCAGCGTAAAACACGTAAATCCATACGTTTTAAAACTGACATTGTAAAACACGTATCTCCACCTTACTCATTAGTAAGGTTATTGTAGTGTAAACATGCGGTGTGGTGTTGCGCTCATTTATTGATACTAACTACTTTTGCTGCACTAAATTAATAGTTTTTGGAAGTAGCTAAGAGGTAAGTTGTAGCCTTATTGCTTTTGTTAAAATTTATCAGTTCTGGGAGTGATAACTCTGTAAAAAATCCCGTTAAAGTCTTAATTTGGATTTAGGAGTTTTACTCTTTTAAGGTATTATAAATTATTTATTAATTTAACGGAGTTACGATAAATTCTACTTACGAGCATTACAGACTTATTGTCATAGAAGAAATAATTCTAAGATAAGGTTTCTTGGAAAGACAGTATAACTAATCAATTCATTGCTTCCGTGTGTTTACAGGATGTCGCGTGGAAAAAAGTGCGTCAGTTTGGCTTTAGCCGGAGAAAATGACCCTCGGGCCATTTTAATGAGTAAGGCAAGTTCAATGGCGTCAACTTCTACCGGCGGTTTTCAGAAATTGTCCTATGATGATGGTTTACTTTTTGAGTCAGAGACGGCGATTGATATTATGAACACCCCAATTATTATAGAAGATTTCAATAGTGAATTACTAATAGACAACAACCAGCACGATTTTATAATAGGTACTACCAACAACCAACAGACAATTCCAATAGCCTTAAGCAACAACACCTGCGATGTCCGTAACCAAAATAGCGAACCCCCACCAGCTTCCTTTGATGATGCTGAAAATGATGCAGAATTTTTCCCTGATAGTGACGAAGAAATGGATCAAAATTCTTCAGAAATTGACATTAGTGTCTTGCAGGATGATGAAAGCGACGCACCTATTAATGAACAAGTACAATCAAGAATTGTTGAAGGGGATATACTACGTGAGAAAAATCTGGTGGCGTACAGTGACACTGAAAGTGACCAAGATGCCGTAGAAGATGACATACCGGAAACTGAGATGATAGAAAGTAAAAGAAAGAGACGTAAAAGACACGAAGTTAATGAATCTACTTGGAATTCAAGAAAAGTGAAACAAGATAGAGAGAAAGGTTTGAAATATTGTGGCAGAAAGAAAATAGATGGCAAATGGAGATACAATGTTAAAAAGGATGAAAGAGTGCTTAAAGATAGATGCAAATGTATTTTGACAGATCAAGGGGCGTTAAGGTGTGGAATGTTTACAGAAGAAGATCGACAACAAATTTTTAAAGAGTTTTGGTCAATGTCATGGAAAGAAAAAGAAATATATACTAAACTATTGGTTACTATGAAATTAACATCGAGAGCAAGGGGCAGAAAAGTAGAAAACAAGTCAAGAAGAAAATACACAATTGAATATTACTTAAGAAGACGCGAAGATAGATTAAAAGTTTGTAAAAAAATGTTCACAAACACACTGAGTGTAGGTGAGTGGACGGTCCTAAATTGGAAGAAAAGGAGTGCATCAACCTTAATATCTAAAGACACCGAATCAGATAATGACAATTCAAAACCACCGACACATAATGAGCAACCAGAAACGTCCAATCGTTACACACTTAGACAGAAACCGTTTGCAACTCGAATTGAGTCCTTGGACAACTTTTTTTCCAAATTACCTAAAATGGAATCACATTACTGCAGAGCAAGTTCACAAAAACTTTATCTAGAACCTCTGTGGAAATCCAAAAATCAGTTGTATCAGTTTTATGTAAGTGAATGGTGCAAACCGAAAAATGAAAGACCCTTATCTTTAGCCACCTTTTTCCACACTTTTGACCGAAAGAATCTTAGCCTGTTTCGTCCAAAAAAAGATGAATGTGATACCTGTGTAGCTTACAAGACTGGTAATTTAACTGAAGAGGATTATGCCATTCACACAGCCAAGAAAGAAGAGGCACGTGCCGAAAAGGAAGCGGATAAAAATAATGAGAAGTATGTATTTACGATGGATCTACAATCCGTTCTTCTTGCACCTAAATCCAATGTGTCTAGCTTGTACTTTAAGACAAAATTAATGGTGCATAATTTTACAGTGTACAACTTAAAATCGAAAGAGGGCACCTGTTATTTGTGGAATGAGACAGAGGGCGCACTCACTTCACACGACTTTTCTTCTATAATCGTAGACTTTCTCTTAAAATCACTTCCAGTAGATAACGACAACAATAAAATCATTTTGTACAGTGACGGCTGCACGTACCAAAACAGGAACGCGATCCTAGCTAATGCACTTTCAAATGTTGCCATCCTGTATAACATTACAATTGAGCAAAAAATTTTAGAGAAAGGCCATACACAGATGGAAGCCGACTCCATCCATTCCACCATTGAACGTCACCTAAGAAACAAAAATATCAACGTACCTGCTGATTATGTAGATGTTTGCAAAACCGCACGTCAAAATCCAAAACCCTATACAGTTTACTACTTAGATCATAAGTTTTTCAAAAATTTCAGCAGTATTCAGTTCTACAATTCCATTCGACCTGGAAGAAGCCCAGGAGACCCAGTTGTGACAGACATCCGAGCACTGCAGTACCAACCAGATGGTGTTATTTGTTACAAATTACGCTTTCCCGATGAATGGACTCCACTGCCGATCAGAAAAAACAAGAATCTATTGGCTAAACCAATAGTCGATTTGCCCCATTTATATAAGGAGAGACTTAAAATTAAAAAAACAAAATATCAACATTTACAATTTTTAAAGCAAAGTTTGACCGCAGATTACCACCTATTTTATGACAACTTGCCTTACGACGATTAAATTAAATTAAATTCTTCGTTTTCTTTGATATTATGTAGTTCTGTTTGCGTTTAAGAATAAAGAATTTAGTTTGACAATATCATTATTCTCAATTATTATTCCCAAAACATTAATTAATCATACCACGTAACTCCACAATTGTGCCTATTTTTTTCACACCAAAACACGTAACTCCTCTATTAATGCTTCTTAAGCTAATTTTTACCTATAAATCAAAATTGGAATCTAATCGTTTACTCTAAAAGGTTTTAGTAAGCACAAATGATTTTAAAGGAAAATTAAAAAAAATAAGCAGTTTTTTGCTTCCCCTGAAAAATTTACTATTTAGGAGTTACGAGTATTTACAATTAAGCCGACGATATGTTGTTTTGTGGGTGGTGTAATGATCACACACCATTGCACAATGATGCTATATAATGCACTATATTACATAGTTATAACATAGCCATTGCACACAGCAATATACTCGGTAAATGGTTCCTTCACGAGAAAACGGTTTCGCTATGACTACATAGTTATCTATATCTTGCCTTTACACATTTCCAATCAGTCAATAATAACAGAACTATTTGGCAAACAAAAAAAACAAAATTAAAAATTAGTTGGCCTTTCAAAGACTTCGACTGATAATTTTTAAGATTACCTAATTGTACTTTTTTCATATGATTTTTTTTCAATAGAAGACTGTCCTGACATTGCACTTTTACTCAGAGAACACCAGGTGGTCCTTTTAAAATCAAAGCAGTGAAATTTACATTATGGCACGAGTGTAATTATGTAAATTTCGGAGAGTAATGTACATCACTACTACCTACCAAGTACGGCTACCGTAATCAATTACGGAATATTTCCATTTTAGCGGTAACCCTACTTTAAAATCGTGGTTTCCGCATACTTAGTTCGTGCGTAATTTGATGTGCTAAACTAAGTGCCGCGCCGAACCCTCTACAATATGTATTATATCGGTTTCATGGATCAATCGGGACACAACCGACGTAATGTGGTGGTATCTGTGTTAAATGTAATAAATTGCAGTTGGGCGTATCTAGAATCTGCATTGAGTTTGGATTTATAGAGTTAAATCATTAATTTCCTTTTCCACAAATTCCGTAATTTGGGAACTTCGTAGTTGCGTTCCAATTTCTAATAGTGAGTTATACTTATAATGAATAAAATTCCGCTTGTAAGGCATAGGGTAAAGTCAGGGATAGATGGCCATAGTTTTTTTTTTAGATTTGGTCTTGAATATCTCATACTTGATTATGAAAAAATGGATTAAATCTTTTCAAAAACACGTGCTAAACTGTGCTAAAAGAAAAGGAAAAAAGTTGAACAATTTTGAAAATGCAAATACATAATTGCCCATCTCAGCATAGACATTAGGTTGAGATGATCATAAGGTATTGAAATAGTTGCCCATATAGTTTCCTCGAAAGTGGAGCGCTTATGTCCTCACTTTGACGCCCGTCTGTCCGTCGTTCTGCGCTATAGTTTAGTTCCTAGACCGAGTATCGACTTCGGGGTTTCGCTATTCCACGTTGTCGCCTAAAATCCGTCAAAATCGTTATGTACCAATTTTGGTAAGCAAAATATTTTTAGATGCCAAAATCGCTACTTATCCAACCATTCTCTTGGGAAAAAGACCAAAATCAATTGCTCGATGCCCAAGAAGTGATCCATGTCTCATTCACGCTTAATTGACTAATTTACACGAACATTCCGCGCGTAAGCTCATTTTGAACCTAGTAAGTTTTGGTTGGCGTAGTAGCAAAATGCTACCGTTCGCTGTAAAGAAATCAAGTTCGAATATCGTTCAAAAGAGATTAATTCGGAAGTTGGTAAAATGCAATCCAGAACTCTTGTTTTTTGTTCAGGGAGTTCCTCATCGCATAGGTTCCTCTGAGACCATAGCGTGGAAGGGCCTACAAACCATTTAGGTCCGTTTCACCACAAACTGGAAAGTTCAGCAATTGTGTTTGCGCTATGTGACTTGATTCACCCAATAATTTAAGTGGTAGCTTGGTGCACTGCCGTCCAAGGGGTTATAATAGTCACCCGATTTTCCCTTTCTCACTAATGAGATCTTCAGAATCAATTCTGATTATTATTTCCAAATCCAGGGATTGCAGGAAATCACAAACAGAGAGTGGTGTGATTTAGTGATATTCACGTTATTCGCAATAAAAATAATAAACGTTAAGAGTTCTTAATGACTGCACCCACGCCATTCTACCAAATTTAAATGACTTTTATTACTATTACTTCCTAGTTTTCGAAATTACTGTGAATAACAATAGGTTTGTTGCAATACACAGATCCGTGATAAGTTTGCCGATTCAGGTTAATACGCATGAGCGATTTGCAAACTGATTTGGAACTGTTTGCAATTTGTTTGTGTGGAAACGGTTTTGTTTATGTTTACGTACCCGCTTAAAAAGTGTAGGGGAAAGCGGGGCAAAGCGGAATGATTTTTAAATTTAATTTTTTTTTGGCTAAACTATAGGTTGTATAGATAAATTTTTTTTCGTAATAAGAACGTTAGTACTGTTCGCACGTAACCAAATATTTACTAGATCTTAGTTCCTCATACTGGTACTGATAATAAATGGTTTGTGTATCAACGCATTTCATTCCACTTTGCCCCGCCTGTGGGGCAAAGTAGAATGACCACATTCCACTTTGCCCCGCCTGTGGGGCAAAGTAGAATGACCAGCGGGGTAAAGTGGAATGAAATTTTTTAATTGTTATAAATATGTATTTTGACAAAGTTTTATTATATTAGCTTAAGAAAGGAAACATTTAGAGATATTGAAAATATTTATGTACAAAAATCACAAACATAAGGCTTGTCATTATCGGTGTCAAAACCCGAACACTCTTCATGCGCCCACAAACGACAGATTGAGCAACTAATCCAACCTTCACCTTCTTTGGATTTTAGAAAAGTACCATCACAAACTATACAAGAAGTGTCCTCTACTTCCTCGTCACTGGAAATAGGTTCAGTATTTTTTTTATTTTGTCCTTTGGTCCCTTTTCTTGGCTTTTTTTGTTTAGGTAACTTTGTTTCCACAACCTTTCGCTTCGAAACTTTTTGTCCCTTCTTCTCCTGTAACTCTTTTAAATATGGACTGGAAGTTAACACAGCAGTCTTTCCTCGATTTTTGGAAACTTTTCGTGTTTCGCATGTAGATTTTACCTTCGGAGCTGGCATTATGTCTATGGGACTAACGTAATTATTTTTTGAAATTTTTTTAAATATTGGTGTTTGTAGACCGGAACACGACGCAACATTGCTATCCGGTGGTATAGTTTGCGTTGGGCTTGAACTTGATACATTCAGCCTTATGCTGTAAGTACATTGACTTTCATGTCAACATTGGCATGATTTCAATAAAATTGACTTTCTATTTCAATCTTGAAAAAAATCGGTATGCTGTATGTCTACTTGACTTGAAGTTATTGAAATTTATAAAGATTGAAATTTAAGTCAAGCGTTTATTTGGCAACATCGCATTTTCTCTGCAACTTCTAACTTCATTATACATTTAACCTAACCTTATTGACGTTATTTTAATTTATTTAACCCTACATTTCTTTACATCGATTGCGCGAAAATTGGTGATCGGTTTTTTGCTGCTCGCATTAGAATTAAACAGAAGTAAGTATATGTATTAACATAATTCAATAAATAAATGCTGATGAAATGCAGTAATATAGCATGTGTGTTTTGTAGATGCCCCCCAAAAAGGCTACACAAGAGCAATACCAGCTTCTAGTGGAGCAGGTTGGAGAATCTAGTTGTTTGAAGTGGGGAAAGGGTACTCTTGATCAAAAAAAGGAAGAGTGGAGCAGGATTGGTGCAGTTCTTAATTCTGTAGGAGGAGTGGAGAAAACTCCTGAAGGTTGGAAAAAGGTACTGGAATACAAATACTATGATGATTTATTCACTAATTTTTTTATTTATACAGGCATTCGTGGAGATGAAATCGCACATAAAATCAAAAATTAGGAATGGTAAGGATTTAAATGCCATTGAAAAGAAATGTGCCGAAATTGCTGGATTGAATGTGTTATGCAGCGGCATGAGCTCTGTTGAAGAGTTGGGAGTGGAGCCGCAGGGTAAGTTTTTAAATAATAAATAAAATGGACCTTCACAAGGTAAACCTGAGTAACATAAATATAATATACATAAGTGGCATCGTATAAGCCTCAGATATACATTTTTTTCTTGAAGTGTGGTTTCATATGATACAAAGGACTGTTATCAAACAAGTAAATTAGTTTAATTATAGGAAAATCAGAGGAACCCCTTCAAGATGAAGTTGCTGAGGAGACTGTGGAGGAGAATGTAAAGGAAAATAATGCTGTAAATGTAAATGACGAAGACGCCGATAGAGAAACAGGCTCACATGATGTTCCCGTTACTTCAAAATCAAAATCCAAACCAAAATCAACATATTGTAAGTATCATCCAGCATACATAACTTTATAAAGAAGAGCTTTATATAGTAAACTTTTTATTTTCAGTATTATTAAATGATCATCTGTCCTCGACAAATGAAGGGCTACGTGAAATAGCAACAGCTATACACTCGGTGGCAGATGCACTGAATAATATTGCTGTTGCTATTTCAATTAGACAGCAATAGTTTCAAAATAGGCTTAATTTTGTAAATATGTTTTGAGGTTCAGTTGTGTGATATTTAATATAAATTTGTTCACACCACTGAAACTAGTTTCAAGTTATAACATACCATAATCATTGGCTATAAATTATTAAATACTCTACCAATTATGTTTATGAGAATGTTATTTCAGTTTTTTTACGTTTTATGTGTTGAATTATGTTTATAATATAATGGTTACAAAATGAAGTCTGATGTTTTTACAGCAATTAAAAAAAAGACCTTATCTGAACAATATGAAATGTACATTCATTTTAAAAAATGCAAACATCATAATGAAGAAGCGTTTGAGACTCTATGTTCGGAACTCAA